AGTTATTTGTGGAAATGTTAAATAGTGTGTGTGTGTGTGTCAAGAAACTTGAAAAATAGTGGTTACTTAATGCACTTCAAACCATCATAAAACTTAAAAGTTAGGAAAACGTCGAATTAAATCCCCAAAGGGAAGATGTTTAATGAGTTTGTTTTAAATATTAAACATTACAACAGAATATTAGCTACATATAATACATTTTACAACTACAATAAGCATTTTAATCAATTACGTTCTAAGGTAAATTGTCAACATCACATTAAAAAGATTTGCCAGTGTGAAGTATTAGCCTTTAGAACGTAGAACATTTAGAACGTTCTTCAGATCAGTTCTGAGATGTTTCAGGACGCTGCCATTGGACGCCACTTTCTGAATTAAATGAAACAAGGTCATGTGACTGTTGTTGGATGAAAAGGGTAACAATTTAGAATAAGTTTCAATACCTTTATGCATCATGATCTAACAATGAACATTTTAATAGAGTTTATTAATCTAGGTTAATGTTGATTTATTAATATACTATTTTTATGTGTATCTATGACTTCATTTTATTAGTCAACTAAGTATTAATATAAATAATAATAGATTGCTTGACATAAGTCAATTTTTTACATTAATATTACAACAATTATGTTCAAATTAACCACATAAAAATATTTAAATAAACTTTTCCAATATTTTGACTTGGGAAGCACTGCTTTCACAACGTTTTGTATTTTTACTTTTTTTTTTTACATGGTTAATGCAAATGACAAACAAAAAAAAAAAGTCACGGGACAAGCATTAACTCTATTCTCTATATCATTCTAGTATACCAATATAAATAATATTACTAACTGCTCATATCCTTTATCCTGTTTGTACTATTGTTAGCAATATAAATGAAAAAAATTGTCCTGTTTCATATTAATTACTAACATGTTGTTATATATTTAGTTTCTTTTTCAAGACTCGACAACGCATGTTTCCCCTGACGACCTGGACATTTTATGATCAATAAATGTGATCAAGTTTGTAAAGAAACAACATTGAGTAACTCTTGGTTCCCAGTTGCTGCGGGTGTTTAATAAGACAAGAAACAGTGGGTTGATCATTATTATTGTTTTAATAGGAAGCAAATGCTGCAGTAATCCACGATCATCCTCGTTAAGAACAATCAAAATGGTTAAAAATGAAATTAGAAACACCCCCAGTATAAAAACACCCGCTCATGCGACATTCACATCAGAGACAGTTCACAAGCTCTTCTTTTGGAAAATCAACAGTGAAGTCAATGGTCAGTAAGTGGCAGCTTAACATCGAGACTGTTTACTGGCTTCCCATCATGCACTGCAGCGTCTGCACTCATGCACGCATGCATATGAGTTTCTTCATGCCCTATTGTGCTTCAGCATGTGTGTGTAGTGTGTGATCTGATGCCAAGGCTCGTGGGAATCGACATTCAATGGCTGTGTTGCGTTTGGCTTCAAAGGAACTCGAGCGCAGAGATTTTAAAGCTGGTTTGAAAAAGAAATCGCTGAATACAACAAAACATCAGCGCTATAATGATGCAACGTCAACAAGTAGCCAGCCCAGATGATGTCAGCCGAAAAGTAAATTCAAACAAATAAAATAATGCATTTATTTTAAATTTATTAAATATTATTTTATTTTTTGATTACATTTTTCAACTTAAAATTTGATTAAATAAATAAAAAAAATTATTAAATATGACATTTTAATTTTTTTACTTGTATATTAACATGTAGCCGGCCTAGATGACATCAGCCGTAAAGTTGTTTCAAACTTCAAAAAATAAAATTATATCAATAGTATTTAATAAATAATATTTTAATTTCTTAAAAATCATATATAGATGGATGGATAGATAGATATCTGAAATCAGCTGTAAAAGTCATTTCAGAAGTGGTGCAAAATTCGAAGACAACCTTAAAAAAAATAAAATTTAAAACGTATATATTTTTCAACCTGACATCAGCTGTGAAGTTACAGAACGAGCACAAAATTCTGAAATTCTGAAAATTAAAATAAATATATAACTATAAAATTAAAATAATATATTTTTTAAAACCCGTATGATGTTAACAAGTAGTCGGCTGTGATGATCGTTTTAGAGGCAGCACAAAATTATGAAGACGAACTTCATCTTCTAATGTCTTTAGAGCATCATTGCGAATGAGCACATGTATGAAGAAAGCAAATAATGTGCTCCCATCCTCTCTAACAGCATGTACGTGCAGCAATAACAGAAGTGCAGGTATTTTGTGCGGATACAAACACTGCATCGCAAACGTGTGATATCAGCTGAAACGAAACCGGCGGCTAACTCTACAGAGACACTTAATTGCACTGTGGTTGAGTCTAAAACCGCCGAGCTGAAGTTAGTGTGACAGCCACACTGATCACAGATCAGCATCCGGGAACAGAGTCCTTTAAAGGGACAGCTCACCTCAAAATCCCCACTCGCCCTCGTGCCGCTCCAAACTTACTTTGGAACAAAAAAAAGTGCCACAAAAATCCATGTGACTAATAACAGCGAGCAGATCCTCTCCTGATTCACTGGAAACAACCTGAGGGTGAATGACTGTTTTTGGGTGAATTATTCCTGTAATGCATCCATAAAGAGTTTGAGTCCAGCGTATTGCTCTAGAATTATGCATTATTGAAGAAAAGTCACAAAAAAGTGATAGCAACACGACACAGCCGCTCGAACACATGAAGACTAAAACATTTCTGTCCTTACAATGCTGTCAGACTCAATGTCAGAAGTGCTTTCTGCATTTGACGACTGTGCAGCATCGACAGCCAGGGTTATTATAGTTAACGAAACTAAAGTCATAAAAAACACTGTTCTTACTTCAAATTAAACAAACTGGAAAAAAAACAAAAAAATATTTTATTTCAGCTAGTTGGCAAGAAAACATTTCTCATTTGCATTTCATCCGTTTAGTCCAACATAAACTAAAACTGAATTAAAATTTATAAAAACTAGATATAAATTTTTTTTTAAAACACATGTAGAAAAATAATAAAAAATGGCAAAACAAAATGACTAAACTTTAACTCAAATTAAAGTGAAAACAGAAAATCTAAAAATAAAATCTAATTCAAAAATATTAACAAAAACTATAATATTATATCAATGATACTAAAATATCAGAGTTCAGTTTCAGATTTCAGAGGCGGCGCAAAATTATAAAGACAAACTTTTAAAATTATTTTTAAAAATTATTAAAACTTTTATTACTTGAAATAAAATAAAATATAAAAATCTCAAACTTATTTTAAAACCTATTTTTCAGCTAGCTGCCGACATTTTCATTTTTCTCTTTTTCTTTTAATTTAACTTGATGTACCAAAATAACTCAAACTTAAATAAAAATGAATTAAAACTACTGCAAAAATGAATACAAAATTACAAAAAATAAATAAAAATAAATGTCAAAAATGTCTGTTAATTGAAATAAACTTCAACTGAAATAAAATAAAACATAAAAAACTTTAAATTATTTTATTTTTATATTTTAGTTTGTATATATATATATATATATATATATATACACACACATACAAACTAAAATATAAAAAACAAAAAAAAAACATAACATATTACTAAAACTTTAAAATGAAAATTAAAATATTAATAACTATATTAGCTGTTATACTATAATAACAGTGTCGACTGCAGACGTCATCAAAGACACTGAACGTGTGTTATTTCGATCATTTCACTGCACAACAATCACTTCTGACATATTAGCTCATCCTCAACATCACTGCAAATCCCTCCGTTATGACAGAGTATTTTTGGATGCCATGTAGTTACACAAACGAAGGAAAGCCCCATAATGCACAGCGTCTGTCCTGCAGGGGACTCACAGTGTTGGTGAGGCTCATCTTCACATGCTGAAGACGGATACGAAGAGCGACTCGACATGCAGAGAGTGCAAAATATTCCAGAGAGCACAAACGAATCAAAGTCCCGAGTCATAAAACACAGGCGGACGCACACAGATCTGGTTCTGGCTGACTCAAGGCCGCAATGCATTGTGGGTAAGTGCATGTGAAGGCAAAATGTTTTTTCATCATAAGGAGTATTGCAGTCATTACATCATCTCAACATTATCGCTTGCTGCGTTCACGTCACGTCAGAACGAACACAATTACCAGTTTGATTAGCACTTGTCTTCACTACTGACTAGTGGATTAGCAAGATCAACTACTGAGTTCATCTGGATTTAAAGGGAAACTTACATCCACCAGCTACAATGAAATATTTTAGGGCTGCATGATTTGGGGGAAAAAATCTAATTGCAATTTTTCTGATAAATATTGATGAGCTCCAGAAAAATTGTGTGAATATATATATCAAAATGACTACAAAATAAGGTGTACATATATATATGTAGCTATCCTTGTGGGGACTCTCCATAGGCGTAATGGTTTTTATACTGTACAGACCGTATATTCTATTGCCCTACACCAACCCTACCCCTAAACCTACCCCTCACAGGAGACTTTCTGCATTTTTAGATTTTCAAAAAGCTTCATTCTGTATGATTTATAAGCTTTTGTACCCGTGGGGACCACAATTTAGGTCCCCACCGTGACATGAGTCCCTATATAAAACCATAAAAAACATTTGTTTCTTGAAATAAAATAAACTTTAACTGAAATACAATTAAATATAGATTATAAAACATAAATAATTATTTCCGCTATTGGCCAAGGCAACTAATTAATATTTTTGAATTTTGTTAATATTTAATTTTATATATATATATATTAATATTTTATTGAGATTTAAAAAAAATATTTTCGGTTTTCATTTTAAAGTTTTAGTTATTTTTTTTAAACATGTCTAAATAGTTTTTATAAATTTTATTTCAGATTTAATTTAATTATTTTGGTATCAAGTTAGAATAAAACTGAAATAAAATTAATAACAACTACACAGACATTTAAAAAAATAATAAAAATCACAAAAAACAGCACCGTTACTAAGACAGAAATCAAACGTTTATGACTGGATTCATTCATCAGGAACTGGAACTTATGGAAGTAAACAGGGTCAGGTCGAGCTGAAATATTATTTGTCAGGGGTTTCTGCTGACGTCATTATTTGCTCGATTGCGTTCGTCTGTGCAGATATGAGTGTGTCTGTGCTCCATTGCTTTTGTTTGGTGCTTTTACACCTCAGCTCCCCCTGCCCTCCTCGGCCGAGCGCTGGTCCGACTTCAGCTTGACGAACTCTTTGGCCACCTCGTCGTTGTTGCGCTGCGAGAGGATGCGGAGGACGGTGAGGCCCGTCTCGTCCATGTGGATGCGTTTGGCGAGCGGGAGCCAGCAGGTGGCGCTGCTGCGAGACGTTAGCTCCTTCAGCTGAAGCACAGTCATGCCCACACTCCGGTCCTCGCGCGCAAAACAGTAATCCTTCACACACACCTGCAGCTCGTAACCCTCCGGCCCCAGCTCACTGCCCAGCACACTAGAGAGGGAGCGAGAGAGAATCACATCAGTAGGCGTGTTTCCATTACCCTTCAAATTGCACAAATTGAAATTGCGAATTGAAAATACGCTTAATGGAAACGCGTTAAATTCGCAAAAACAGCCATATATCGCAAAAAAGTTTTTACGCTCGCATGAGGTGGTTTTTCAGGCAATGCGAAAAAGGAATAATTCGCAAAACTGCAATGGAAACGGCTTTTTCGCATTTACAGGTCACATGGCGTATGTAAAAATTCATATGATCATTCTTCAATGTACTATAACCTCCAAGAAACACTTCATAAGTGGCCGCGCTCCAGTATAAGGGGCTTTCCCTACCATTAATACTTAGACAATTTACACTGCACACGTCTGTGGTGCAGTGTGGCTCTGATACGGTCACTGAAGCTGATTGCGGCCACGCAATGCTTGTGTTAATGTTTTTATACAGTCTATGGTTTATTCCAGCCTCGCCACGCACGTTTCTGAAGCGGCTCTCTTTGCTGCTTCTGTAAAGATACACGCATAAGCCTCCTTTGAATAAATATAGCCAAAATCCCACCAAAATCCGTTGCCATGACTTATTGCGAGAGGCAAAAGTTTACGTTTAAGTCTCATAACATTGGTTAATGGAAACGCCGTCATTTCGCAATACTTTTTTATCGACATTCAGAAAATATCGCCAAAGTTTTGCGCAAATCTGTAATGGCAATGCGCCTACTGACGCCTAGAAAGATAGTGTCTCCAAACACTAAATATTTTTTTTAAATAGTAAAAACAAATCTATTATAATGCGGAGAGTTCCGGTGCTTGATTCTGATTGGCTGAGCCGTGTTCCAAGCTGTTGTGAATGACTCTACAAAGTAACACACCTTTGTTTACGTCTGTGTGTTGCTCTGAAACCACTTTGTAGCAACCACAACTGTTTCTGAGGAGCTACATTGTTTGGTGGAAGAATACTGTTTTTATTAATATCATTACACTTTATTTGCTCTGTTACCTTACTACGTATATGGAATAACCATTTTATAAAAGCAATAAGTCCCGTGAAGCCGTGGTTTGCAGTGAATTTATAACAGCTAATGGCCGTTGTTAGGTACGAAGCAGAGCGGAATAGCCTTCTTGGGGCTTATTGCTTTAGTTTAAAACATATAAAGTAATAATGGTCTTCATGTAAGTACCATTTCAGTATTATTTACATGCTATTATAGTATTTATTAATATTTTGATTTTTTTTATATTTTCATTTTAGTTTACGGTGTATGTCTTTTAAAAAAACTTGTTTATAATTTTTTTTTATATATTTCAATTTTTTTCAGTTTTAGTAATTTTAGTACTTTAACTTAAAAACATACTGAATACTATCTGAAATAAGATGAAGTGCTAAAATTACTAAAACTAAAAATAATTTTTTGTTTATTGAAATAAAGCTGAAACAGAATAAAATATAAAAATTCGATGAAGAACTCTACAAACTTACTGAATACTAACTGAAATAAATGTAAGTTGAAGAACTAAAATTATTAAAGCTAAAACTATTAAAAATGTTGTTTATTTTGTTTATGGAAATAAAGCTGAAATACAATAAAATATAAATATTAGATGAGAATCTCTAAAAACTTACTAAATATGAACTGAAATAAGTTTAAGTTGAATTAGTAAAATTACTAAAACTATTAAAAAATTGTTTATTGAAACTGAAATAAAGCTGAAATACAATAAAATAAAACGTACTGAATCCTAGCTGAAATACGTTTGAGTTCTTCATCTAATATTTATATTTTACTGTATTTCAGCTTTATTAAAGGTAATTACAATTTTTAATAGTTTTAGTTTTAATTAACAACAACAACAACAACACAGATACAGATGATTTCATTTCTATAAAGTGAATCACTAGGCATAACATTTAAATAAGTAAAAAATTAAATAAATTAATTAAAAGTTAATTTTTATACAGTTAGGTTATAAAAACATGCCTTCATAAATTAATGGCATCATAAACCCATTTTAAAAATCCATTAGAAGCAATCAGAATTTTAGAGATTAATTTCTTATGAATGGAAGTACTTGACATAAAATATAAATAAATAAATTATATATATATATATATATATGCTTAGGAAAATGCCACCATAAATTATTGACATAATCCCTTTTTGAAAATCCATTAGTAGCAGACAAATCAATTAATAAACTTTTTATTTTAATTTCTAAAGTATAAAACTTAACTAACTAAATAATATAATTGTATAATGCAATTTTCATATATATTTAGGAAAATGCCTTCAGAAATTAATGGAATCATAAACCTCTTTTGAAAATCCATAAGTAGCAGCCAAAATTATTCAGATAAATTCATTTCTTTAAAACAAAAAGTCAACTATGTGATATGAAAATTAAATAAATAGATAGGAAACTATGTCCTCTTAAATGAATAAATCATTGGTATAGGGGGCAAATATTGTCCTTTCATAAAAACATATGCATAGGGTTGGGTATCGTTTGAATTGATCAATTCCAATTCTTTTCGATTCCAATGTGGTTCAAAAACAAAGTCAAAGATTTAGATATCAAACATATTTATTCTGTAAAACATTTAATTGCTGCTGAATACCATGAACAAAAATCATCAGGCTACATAAAAACTGGACTCGATTAAGAGCTGTTTGTGTGTAAAATAGAATTGCATGATTCTGGATAAACTGAGTTTGTTTTTTGTTTTGGTTGTAATTCTCTCACAATTCTGAAGAAAAAAATAGACAACGAAACAAAATCTCATGGAATTTATAAACGGAATGATTCAATGAGTCACTCACGATTGACTTGTTTCATTACTGGATGAATCAGTATTTTTGAACGAATCTCTTGAATGAATGAATCAAAGACAAAAACATTTTAACAGCTGCTTTTCGTCAGCTAAAAAGAGATGGATGCACACAGGAATTGAAATTTAAGTATCCGATTCTGGAATTGGAATAGATTTTCGATTCCCAACCCTACTTATGCAGAAGTTCGATCGGTCTCTGTTAAAAACGTACAACTGGAAGGATTCGCCGAACTTGGCCGACCAACTGTTGTTTTTGGATTTGGTGGCGAACTTCCTCTTCTTGTCACTGAGGTGCGGGCCGATGATGTACACCTCCACGAAGGGCCGGAATATTCCCTGCGTCTGCCAGCGAAGGTCATTGGCTGCCACCACTGTCAATCACAGCACAACAACAGCATTAATTAAATACTAAACATGTTAATAAACAAGACCAGGTCTGAAAGACAGAAGCACCTTTAGCTGTGATTTTGTGTCCTCCTGTGTTTGGGTCGCTGAAGATCTCCACAGTCATACAAATCTCACCCACCGCGTCATCCACGCCTGAGGCTGAGCAATTCAGGAGGTCAGAAGAGCATCAAATGTTAGGCTTCTGAAGATTTTGTTTTGATGTCTAACACATGCATTTGGAAACACAGTGTGCGCTAGGGTTGCTGTATTTACACATTCACATAATTTCCAACCTTTTAGTTTTAACCTAGAAGTTTACAGCATTTCACCAGTATTACGGCTAAATAAAAGCATTAATTTGAAATGGTAAAAGATTGAGGGTTTGTACATTTGAAAGAATTTAAGACATAAATAGTTAAGAATTCTTATCATTTTAATCACATTAATTTTTTTGTGTCATTTACAATTGTAATAGGAATATGTTTCAGTCATTTTCAATATTTATTATACAATAAAAATAATACACAAATGAAAAAAAAAATGCAAATACAAATAATATACAAAAAATTACAAAATAATCACTATCATCGGTCATGCAGTCCTATATATAATTAATTAAAAAAAATAATCAAATATATAACAAAATAATATATACATGACAAAATAATCAACTAAATTATTTGGCGGTCATGCAGTCCTATATATAAATAATTTTAAAATAAAAACATTTAGAGAATATATAAAGAAAATAATATACAAATGACACACACACAAAAAAAATAATAACAATTTAAAAAATAAAAATGACAAAATAATCACAATTAACAATCATGCAGTCCTACGTATAATTATTTAAAAATAAAAACCATCCAAATATATAAACAAAATAATACATGCATGACAAAATAAAAATAACAAAATAATTACAATTACACATTTTGGCAGTCATACCGTCGTATGTATATATAAATAATTAAAAAATAAAAACAATTAAAATATATGACAAAATAATCACAACAACAATTTTTGGCAGTCGTGCAGTCCTGTATATAATTAATTTTAAAACAAAAACAATTAAAATATATAAACAAAATAATATATGCATGACAAAAATAAAATAAATACAATTACACTTTTTGGCAGTCATACAGTCCCATATATGTATATATTAATAATTTAAAAATAAAAACAATTCAAATATATGACAAAATAATATATACATGACAAAACAATCACAATAAAAACTTTTGTCAGTCGTGCAGTCCTATATATAATTACTTAAAAAAAAAATCTAATTTAAAATCAAAATACAACACTTACTAATAAAAGATTAAATATTTAATCTGTTTACTTGCATGTCATCTGAGCTTTAACCAACACAAGAGAACCATGAACATGCAAATGTGTTGTTAATTTATTGAAATATCAGCTTAAAATCTCAGGGGGACTTCAAGTAAATATTTTACGTCAAAGGGGTTTGGCTGGCAAATTATTATTATTTTTAAATATAATATAATAAAAAAAAAATGACAACACAAGGTGTGCTTGTGTTAGTGTCATTAGTGCTATTCGAGGTTGTTCCAGCAGAGGGCAGCAGAATCAAACCTTACACATCTGACACTTACTGTCCATAAAAACATAAAAACAAATATAGCCATCCATAACATTGACTCTCATTAAACGGAGGAGATCAAGATGACATCAAATCAAATTCAAATTCCATCAAATTGTGGATCTCTATTGTCTCTCCTTACAAACATGCATCACAGTAATTATAGTTTCTGCCAAAATACCATAGTGACTATTAGTTACTGCTGTAAAATCGTAATAAATGAGTATACATCTCCTTCAAACTGTTTAAGATGCTTCCAGAATCTCTCTGTTGCGGTCAATTTCAAGCTACCACAGTAAGAATAACAATTTTAGTTTACTATAGCAATAATAACAAACATATCTGCTGTTTTCCCCAGACATCATTATTACCACAGTACATTTTTATTAGGTAAACCATGAAAAAACCTTTTAGTTTGTGTAAATCTCGAGAACTATAGCAGCTTGTGATATTCACATGAATATGGAAATGAATATCTGCACACATGAATATAAATGAGGCGCATGAGTGGATCTGCAGATACGCACCTTTCTCTGGATAAACATCTTCACTGTGAGTGTATCGCACGCCTTTACCACCATGAACTAAACACAAGAGAAGAGGAAGATTAAGTTTTGTTCATATAAACACATAAACATCCCTAACATAGTTATGGAAAAACACAAACAGACCCCAGTGAGTCACTAATCATCATCCAATTAGAGCATAGAGCTATAAAATGAATGCGGAGCAGATCATTAGATTAGAAATGTTCATATTGAGCTCAACAGGAGACACATGTGAGTCTTTTCTGCAAAAATCTCCATCTAATCTCATTGCTGTGGTTCGCAGCCAGAGGACCGGGAGCCACTAGGGGGCGCCAGCGCTCTTCCAAAAGGGCCACAAGATTACTTTAATTTATTTAAAGGGGTCATATGATGCAATTAAAATTTTTCCTTTCTCTTTGGAGTGTTACAAGCTCTTGGTGCATAAAGAAGATCTGTAAAGCTGCAAAGACTAAAGTCTTAAATCCAAAGAGATATTCTTTATAAAAGTTAAGAGTCAAGCACACCTACCTAAAACGGCTCGTTCTAGCACGCCCCACACGTCTACGTCACGATGTGGGAAGATTTGCATAACATCGCCCAAATGTTCACGCAAAGAAAGAAGGTGTAACTTTGATTCTCGCTGTAATATTTTTGTTGCCGTGTGTTTCGTTGTGAAAACGAAACTACTTTGTTTGGTTTTCCAAAAGAGGATGATATCTGCTTCGTCATGCCTAGAGCTGATCCGTGCGGGACGCTGAGGAAATACTACAACTTTGCTGTGGATCACCGGATCGGCTTTCACCGTGGACGAAGCGGAGTCCAGCCCGGGGTCGTCACATGTGGTTGCTGCAAGCTGTTCTCAAGCCCGCTGGCCTCCACTCACTCTAGCCCGCCTCCGAGCCCGCCTCCATTCACCCTAGCCCACCTCCGCTTGTCCCATCGCTCCGGCCGGACAAGGCATCACAATATGTAAGGGGCGTAACATTTCCGTCACACGCTTGAGGTATTCGGCCAATCACAACGCTCTGGATAGCTGGCCAATCACAGCACACCTCGCTTTTCAGACCGATGAGCTTTGTAAAAATGTACGCGTTTCAGAAAGCCGAGACATAGAGGAGAAACAATAATGTACAGTATGTGGAAAATAATGTGTTTTTTTAACCTTAAACCGCATAAACACATTTCATTACACCAAATACACCAAATAATGTTCTTTTTAGCAGCATCATATGACCCCTTTAATACATGAGTATCACAATTTGAGTTGAATTGCTGAAATAAACTTTTCCATGACATTCTAATTTATTGAGATGCACCTGTATATACTGTATATAGATTCTGCCTTATTTTGTATGTTTTATGATATAATTTACACTTGAATGGTTTTATTGAACAGAAATATTAAATAGAGTTCAGATTTTATTATGTATTGCAATGCTTACAGTTTATATTTATTTATTAGGTCATATAATATTTACATATTTTATTGTCCTCATTTGGATAAAATTTTGGATAAAAGTGTCTGCTAAATGACAAAAAATTTTAAATGTAAATATAAAACTGTAGATTTATATGAGAGTGCAGATATATGTGTGTATGATTGCATTCGAGTGTGTGGTGGGAGGGTGTGTGTGTGTGTGTATTTGTGCTCACATGTGTATGATGTAGCCCACCACCCTGAAACCTCTTTACATGGATATTGGAGTTGCTCACACAATGACATTTTGATGATTTTCTTGATTTTATCAAATGTTATGTGAATCTTACGTGAATAAATTTACGTATAGAAATGTAATTTTTGGTTTTCATGATTGTGAAAAGAAAAGTGATATGTGTTTATTTCATTAACCTTATTTTCCTCTTAGCTAAATATATTCATTATGTAAACTTTTTTATAAGATTCAAACTTGAAATGAAAAA